GGTATCTGGATTCTTTGATAGAAATTCCTAACAAGGGAGTAAAGTGTGTTCGTTCATTTCCCTAGCTTTCAGGAAGGGAACTTTGGCATCCTTACTTATTCAAGGTTTAAACCTTAGGACCATATAACTTAATAATTTTATGTTTTCTTTCTAAGCCCCATGGAAATGTCTTTCTTTTTTCCTTCCTTCCTTCCTTCCTTCCTTTCTTTTTGGGTCCGGTTGTGGGGCCTGAACTCTGGGCCTGGGTGCTGTCCCTCAGCTCTTCAGCTCAAGGCTAGCACTCTACCACTTGAGCCACAGCGCCACTTCCGGCTTTTTTCTTTTTTTGCTTATGTGGTGCTGAGGAATCGAACCCAGGGCCTCAGGCATGCAAGGCAAGCGCTCTACCACTGAGCCACGTTCCCAGCCCCTCTTTCTTCCTTCCTTCCTTCCTTTCTTTCTTCCTCTTTCTTTCTTTCCTCCTTCCTTCCTTCCTTCCTTCCTTCCTTCCTTCCTTCCTTCCTTCCTTTCTTTCTTTCTTTCTTTCTTTCTTTCTTTCTTTCTTTCTTTCTTTCTTTCTTTCTTTCTTTCTTTCTTTCTTTCTTTCTTGTCATGGGACCTGAACTCTGGGCCTGGGCACTGTTCCTCAGCAGCTCTTCAGCTCAAGGCTAGTGCTCTACCACTTGAGCCAGAGCACCACTTCTGGCTTTTTCTGCTTATGTGGTGCTGAGGAATCAAACCCAGGGCCTCATGCATGCTAGGCAAACACTCTACCACCAAACCACATTCCCAGCCCCATCTTTTTTTCTTTAATTTAATTTTATTTTAAAGATGCTATACAGATGGGGAAATAATCATTTCTTTTTTATATAATATATATTTTTTATTGTAAAGATACTGTACAGAGGGGTTACAGTTACATGAGTAAGGCAATGAGTACATTTTCTTTCGAGCATTGTTATCCCCTCCTCTGTTTTTCTCCTACCATCCCTTCCCTCCCCACCCCTCCAACTCCTCCCTCCCCTGCCCCAAAGTTGTAAAGTTCATTTTCAACAAAGTGTCTTGTACATCTCATTGTTACAATGGGTCAACCTGTATCCTTATTTCAGCTTTTATTTCCCTTCCCCTCCCCAAATTAGAAAAATGTAAAATAATCATTTCTTTTGTTTGCCTTTTTTTTGGGGGGGGGAGGGTCGGTCATGAACTCTCTTGGCCTAGGCACTGTCCCTCTGCCCTTCAGCTCAAGGTGAGCACTCTACCACTTGTGCCACGAAGCCACTTCCAGTTTTGTGAGCGGTGTTTTGGAGATAAGAATCTCAGGTACTCTCCTGCCCAGGCTGGCTTTGAACCTGGGTCCTCAGATCTCAGCCTCCTGAGTAGCTAGGATTACAGGCGTGAGCCAGCAGTGCCTGGCTTGGATGCCTTTTCAAAGTTTAAAAGTTTTTGCCCTTAGTGTCTCTTCTATTCCTTCTTTCTATTACACTCTCTGTCTTTCTCTGTCATACTTTCTCTGTCATACTTCAGTGTATGTTTTTTAATCCCTTCCTTTGAAGTTAAGAGATAGGGAAAATCTCTTGTTTATGTCCTTGACATAGAAAGATGCTCTATGAAGCCAGGCGCCGGTGGCTCACACCTGCAATCCTAGCTACTCAGGAGGCTGAGATTTGAGAATCATGGTTCAAAGCCAGCCCAGGCAAGAAAGTCCATGAGACTCTTAGCTCCAATAAACCACTAGGAAACAGGAAGTATCACTGTGGCTCAAGTGGTAGAGCACTAGCCTTGAGCTGAAGAGCTCAGGAACAGCATCCAGGCCCAGAGTTCAAACCCTATGACCGACAAAAAAAAAAAAAAAGAAAAAAGGAAGGAAGGAAGGAAAGAAAGAAGGAAGAAAGGAAGAAAGGTCCTCTGTTGCTTGAGCCACACTTCTCAGCCCTTTATCCACCTTCCTTTTTTTTTTTTTCCTGAATAGGTTTTCTCATGCATGCCTAGGCCAGCTTGGATAATAGTCTGCTTATTTACACTTTCCATATAGCTACGATGACAGATGCCCATCATCAATTTCAATTATTGATTGAGATGGAAGCCTCTGTCTCTGGAGTAGCTAGGATTATAAGTGTGAGCCACTGGGCCCTAACTATATGCATGGTGGTTTAAAATTCACTAGAGGGTGAACTTTTAAAGCACTGGCTTATAGTTTCTCCAAAGATGCCAACTTCCTTTTTGAACTTCGCTTTTATTACTAACATAAATTTATTTATTTATTTATTTTTTGGGTCCGGTTGTGGGGCCTGAACTCTGGGCCTGGGCACTGTCCCTCAGCTCTTCAGCTCAAGGCTAGTGCTCTACCACTTGAGCCACAGCGCCACTTCCGGCTTTTTTCTTTTTGCTTATGTGGTGCTGGGAATCGAACCCAGGGCCTCAGGCATGCAAGGCAAGTGCTCTACCACTGAGCCACCTTCCCAGCCCACTAACATAAATTTAAAATCATGTTTAAGCACTTAAAAATAACACGTTTTCTGATGGCAAAAGTTTGTTTATTTAGATGAAAGTATAAGACAAAGGAAAATGATCTTGGCATTACATAATGGCAACTATGTTCATTGTATGTATCTCTGGGTGGGTAGGTCCTGAGGCTTGAACTTAGAGCCTATGGCTGGCCCTGAGCTTCTTTTCCTCAAGGCTAACACTCTATCACTTTAGCCATAACTCCACTTTTGGCTTTTTTTTGGTACTATATTAGAGATAAGAATCTCCCAGACTTTGCAGCCTGGGTTGGCTTCCAACCACAATCCTCATATTTCAGCCTTCAGAGTAGCTAGGTTTATAGGTGTGAGCCACCACTGCCTGGCATTATGTTCATATTTTTAAAAACAAAATTGATTCATCCTGAACATGCTATTTTGTAATAGCATGTTCACTTAGTATGATGTGGTTTTTTTGTTTTGTTTTGTTTTGTTTGGGTCCGGTTGTAGGGCCTGAACTGTGGGCCTGGGCGCTGTCCTTCAGCTCTTCAGCTCAAGGCTAGCGCTCTACCACTTGAGCCACAGCGCCACTTCCGGCTTTTTTTTTTCTTTTTGCTTATGTGGTGCTGAGGAATCAAACCCAGAGCCTCATGCATGCAAGGCAAGCGCTCTACCACTGAGCCACCTTCCCAGCCCCATGATGTGTGTTTTCTATTTACTAAAGATTTCTCAAGAATATTATTAGCAGTTAATAGTCTAGCTTAATTTAACTTGTTTTATTTAAAATAACAAGCTGGGGGCTGGGAAGGTGGCTCAGTGGTAGAGTGCTTGCCTTGCATGCATGAGGCCCTGGGTTCGATTCCTCAGCACCACATAAGCAAAAAGAAAAAAGCCGGAAGTGGCGCTGTGGCTCAAGTGGTAGAGCGCTAGCCTTGAGCTGAAGAGCTGAGGGACAGCACCCAGGCCCAGAGTTCAGGCCCCACAACCGGACCCCAAAAAAAAAATAATTAAAAATAAAATAAAATAAAATAACAAGCTGGGGTTTGTTTCCCCACTCTTGGTGATCAGTCATTTCAGCTGGTTTTTAAAAATCTCCCCACAGGAGAGAACCAGGCCTATTGAGAGAGATTCCCAAAGCTGAAATACTGAAATTTAAGAAACCAAGTGGACAAGAGCACAGGTCCTTATAGGGGAACTTCCTTTCTTCCAAAGATTACCATAGAAAGATCTAAATGAAAGAAGTAGAAACCACATCTTAGTCTCTTGCCCTGAGGTGCAGGACTCAATGTGGGGATACCTTAGGAAGTCCAAGTCAAAAACTAAAACACACTTTGATTGAATATGGTTCCAGTTCAAAGTTTTTCCCTATTCCTCAAATTGCTTAGGTTGCATTAAAATAACACCTTCTAAATCTGTGAGTCTGTATTGATTTCTTGTGTGTCAGTGTCTGGGAATTTTAAGTTTCTAGTTTCCTCTCTAGACCGTGTATAAATGGGACCCAGAAGCAGAACTTCCTCTTTCCTTCCTCCACCCCTTATTTCTTCTTCTTGCCCAACTCTTTCTGATTTTAAGATTTCTGAAGGCAGTGATGATAAAATGTTTCATCTGGATATATCCAAGAAACATTTGTTATAAAAATGAAGCTAAGGGGCTGGGAAGGTGGCTCAGTGGTAGAGCACTTGCCTTGCATGCATGAGGCCCTGGGTTCGATTCCTCAGCACCACATAAGCAGGAAAAAAAAAAGCTAGAAGTGGCGCTGTGGCTCAAGTGGTAGAGCGCTAACCTTGAGCTGAAGAGCTGAGGGACAGCGCCCAGGCCCAGAGTTCAGGCCCCACGACCGGACCCAAAAAAAAAAAAATTAAAAAATTAAAATAAAAATGAAGCTAAGTTCCCAATCTGGGAAAATAACAAAATAGCTCTCTGGGAAAAACCCTTTTTGTAGGACATTGTCATAACTTAGGGTCACTTATCCACTTAGTGTGACCATTCCTTCTTTTAGGTTCCAGAGTTGGTTTATGAGCTAGGAAATTCCTTGCATGGGGAGAACTTTTCAAAAGTGCATACTCAGGTGAAAACCCCACCACAGAAAAAGTCTTCCAAACAGGAGATGGTCTCTTACTTTTCTTCATAATTTGCAGTTGGTCAGAGGGGGAAGTTTGGTCCAGAGCAGAGCTGAACAGTCTAAAGAGAACTCTCATTTTTGTGTGTCTCTCACTGCTAGATGCACAACCAAGAGGGACATGGCCTGAAACTTAAAGGAACAGAGTGCCTCTGGAGACTGGACCCCCAGACAAACTTCTATTTTTAGCAAGCTGCCTTAAGTCACTTGTAGGAAAGATTGGTTCTAGAAGTCAGGAGGCCCACATTCTAATTCCAGTTCTACCAAAAACATGCTGTATAATGTTGGGCCTCTAGTTCCTCATCTGTAGCAAATACCATGAGACCCACAATCAAACCCTGTGATTTTCCAGTTGTTTTCCAATGTCTGCTTCCTCCAAGAGAGAAGCTGTGTGCCTCTCCACTGTTATGCAACTGAGCAGGTGACTTTGTGAGGCATTTTCAGGCACTGCCCTTGCTGGGGGAGCGGGTGCTTCCTGGGAAACGTGCACAGTAATACTTGTTCACAATTTGCCTGCACTGGTCACACTTGACTGTGCAGCACCACTGAAATTTGCAATTACAGCTCCTCACGGCCTCAGTTCGCCTCTCTTCCACCTGCAGCCCACACTCAGTGCACAGGCGCCCACAGCTGCATTGCTCCCATCTAGATGTATTACGGCTGTTCTGTAGGCACTCGCGACCCTCTGTGCCATAGATACCCAGGCTGGTATTGCGGGTACAGTAGTCTGGAGATTCCTCTAAAAAGATCAGCTCCTCCTCTGCGCTAGGAAGGAAGGCTTCAGCGGGAGCCCAGCCACTCTCAGCGCTGTTCCCAGCCCTTAGCTGTCGCTTATCCATCTCAATTTTCAGTGCCTGCTCATACTTGGTCTTTAGGTAGTTTCCCATCTCCCGGAAGTCTGCTAGCTGCAGCCAACAGGTCTGGATGCTGCAGCTCCCTGAGATGCCGTGACATTTGCAAATCCTTTTCATGGTGGCTCTCACTGCCTTCAGAGAGAGAGAGAAACACAAAAGAATGAATGGCTCTTGGTAAGGAAGGCCAATGGCCAACAATTAAATGGGCTATTTTACAGCTGTGCTTTTTTTTTTTTTTTTCCGGGGCTGAGGACCGAACCCAGGGCCTTGCCCAGGCCAGGCGGTGCCCTTCCGCTGAGCTAAATCCCCAGCCCCACAGCTGTGCTTTTTTTGCTTAGATGAAACATAGGATGATTGAAGAAGTTTATAAAAAATACTTCAATGAGACTGTTCAGGGGTTTAAAGGCCTGACAATGGGGATTTTAAGTCAGTGTCTCGGCCTGACTAGGAGAGAGCTCGGACAACGTTCGAAGTGAACTCTCATCACTTGTAGAGCAGGTTTGCTTATTTGTTTCTCACTTTGTGTGTGTGGTTGGGTTTGTTTTTTTTTTATTGTTTGTTTGGTTTGGTTTTTTTTGTTGTTTGGGACTAGGAATTTAGTTTAGGGTTTCATGCTTATTAGGCAAGCACTTTACCATTTGAGACCTGTCCCAGTCAGGATTTTTTGTGTGCTGGTAGTGGGGCTTGAACTCAAAGGCTGGCACTATTCTTAGGCTTCTCTCCCCAACGCCAAGGCTGTTGCTCTACCACTTGAAACATACTCCTGGTTTTTTGCTGGTTAACTGGAGATAAGAGTCTTGTTTTTGTCTGCCTGGGCTGACTTTGGACCTCAAACCTCATATCTCAGCTTGGTGAGTAGCTAGAATTATAGGCATGAGCCACTCGTGCCCAGCTTCTTTCTATTATTATTATTATTATTATTATTTTATTCAATTGTGGGCTTGACCTCAGGGCCTGCTGCTGTCCCTGAGCATTTTGGCTCAATGCCAACACTCTACCACTTTGAGCCACAGTGCCACTTCTGGTTTTCTGTTGGTTAATTGGAGATAAGAGTCTCTTGGACTTTCCTGTTGGGTTGGCTTTGAACCATGATCCTCAGATCTCAGCCTCTTGAGTACATAGGATTACTGGCGTGAGCCACCAGCACTAGGCTCCAATTTTTTTTTTTTTTTTGGTCAGTCATGGGGCTGAACTCTGGGCTTGGGCGCTGTTCAGCTCTTCAGCTCAAGGCTAGCACTCTACTTCTTGAGCCACAGCACCACTTCCAGTTTTGTTTTGTTTTTGGTCAGTTGTGGGGCTTGAACTCTGGACTTGGGCGCTGTCCCTGCGCTCTTCAGCTCAAGGCGAGTGCTCTAGCACTTGAGCCACAGTGCCACTTCTGGTTTTCTAGTGGTTTATTGGAGATAAGAGTTTCACGGGAGCCGGGGGCCGGTGGCTCATGCCTGTAACCCTAGCTACTCAGGAGGCTGAGATCTGAGGATCACGGTTTAAAGCCAGCCCGGGCAAGAAAGAACATGAGACTCCTATCTCCAATAAACCACTAAAAAAACCATAAGTGGTGCTGTGGCTCAAGCGGTAGAGCTCTGGCCTTGAGCTGAAGAGTGCAGGGACAGTGCCCAGGCCCAGAGTTCAAGCCCCACTACCAAAAAAAAAAAAAAAAAAAAGAGTCTCACAGACTTTCCTGCTCGGGCTGGCTTTGAACCACGATCCTCAGATCTCAGCCTCCTGAGTAGCTAGGATTACAGGCGTGAGCCACCGGTGCCCAGCTTAGGCTCCATTATTTTTTAAAAAACAGTTTTCTCTATCAGCCCAGCTGGAGTAAGAGTTGAATAAAATTGAGGGGTGTCTTTATAGGTGAATTGGGAGCATACTTGCTTAGCACAAGGCCCTGGGTTCAAATCCTCAGAGAGAGGTGGGGGGAGAGGAGAGAAAGGAGAGAGAGAAGAAAGAGGAGTGAGGTAGAAAGGGGAAAGAGAGGGATTGAATAGAATTATGAAGGAAGTACTTGGACCATTATAAAGGAAAATATGATTGCTGACACTGTTTTACTGCCTTGAAGCTGTGAGCCTGAGTATTTGTGATGATTTGGATTCACCCTCTAGGCCCTCTTTCAGAGGGACAGGAGCTCGTGGAGTCTGATCCCCTTATGCTGGACAGCCCTGAAATCTAGGTACAGATTCACAGGGAAATTTCTATGATTTTTTTTAACTCCAATTTGCTTCCAGATTTGAGTTCAAATACTTCCCCATCAGAAGTCCTAGGGGAGAAGAGACTCCTCAAAGAAACTTGTATCCGTTTCAATAATTCACAGCCCAGACAGACTTTAGGACACCAGGCTGGACAATAATGTTAATGTTCTAGAACAAGTGATTATAATTTTAATCCATGGAAACAAAATCTTGATTGTCTATCACTCTGTGTCCTCAGAAAACTGCATGTGAAGAAGAATAGAGCCTGAAGATCTGAGTTCATTGCCTGCCTTTGAGGTATATAGTTGTAGTGCCTTGGATAAGCCACTGGGCCTAGACCTAATTGGCTTTGTTAAACAGAGAATGGGAATAGCTGTCTGTCTTGCTGGATGGTTGTGGGGATGAAACAGAGGTATGAGGCAGCTCTTGGTAAGCTTTGAAAGTCTAGATAGAAGTGAAGCTGTTGCCAACATTGGCCAACTCCTATACCCACCAGCCTGCCGGCCCTGTTGTTGTGTAGATTCATCAGGGCTCTGGCATCCTTTCCCTTCTCCAAACTGTCCACAAAGAGTTTGGAGATCCTTTCCCCAAATTCCACATTGTCGCTGCAGCCTCCCCAGATCCAGCCATGGCCTCCTATATATAAGGAAAGAATAAGTTCTGCATACAGCTCCCTGCTAAGTCCCAGAAGAAGAGTCACGGTATTTTTGGAGAATACAATCAAACCATCCCAAGAGCGCTGGGAAGGCATAAGGCTATAACTGAAGATGAGATAGGCACATGGGTTAGGTGGAAAGAGTCCTATTCCCAATACCCGTTACTGACACTTCTCAGCTCTGAACAATAAGTCGTCTATACCCCAGTAAATGTAGGCACACAGGGCTGATCCAGACGATTATAAAGGTTCACCACATCTCAGGTTTTCTGGAACTCTACACCATTATTCTACAATGCTCTTGTTAGAGTCCCCTCTTTACTAGTGACAAACCTGAGTTTCTTTGGTCTACAAATAGTTGAATATTTTTGAGTTACAGACAAGCCATTCTAACACAAAGGCTAACTTCAAACTTTCTTTGGCTTTTTTATTTTTTAATTCCCAATCATCTAATGTTTTTAGAGCTACTTGCTAATAATCCTTGGACTCACTGACCCAGTCTTAATTCTTAAGAGTCTTGATCCAGGAGTTCCTACTAGTGAAAGGGTGGTGGGAGTATAGGGATGTGAAGAACTTTGACCTTTAGCAACTCAGCTCTGAAGCTCCTCCCCTTTTCCTACTCCAATCTGAAAACCCAGCTTACCTGTTTTTCCATTTTTTGACTCATCACAGCCACAGTTTTCAAAGTCACCCATGCTACAGTTCTTGGTGATGGTGTACATAACTCCAGCAGAGCTGATAGCATGAATGAAAGAAGTCTCCCTAGTAGCTTTGGAGAGAAAGAGGAAACTAACTAAATAATTGGTCCTCAATGATGTGAAGCAGGTTTTGGAAAACCAATGTTCCTATTACCACCACTGCCCCCGCCCCCTCCAACCTCCTTTGGGCTTAAAGAGGATGCTCTCCTTGGATAACAGTGCATGCCTTGCCAGCCACCTCAATTCAAAGAGGAAGTTCTGGGCATCTCCATGCTACAGATGGAGAAGTTAAAACCCAGAGACAGAATGAGGAGACCAAAGGCCATTCTCTCCATTCTTGGTGTTGAGATCATGACCCTGCTGTCCTGAAATGCACAGAGGGTGAGATGAAAGGCCATAAGGCTTGTTTAGGAAAGAGAGAAACACATTTTCTGACCACCAGTCTGGGCCATGTGCTATCACAAGGGTTATGGTTTCTGATATTGAGCTCTTAAACTTTGGTACTGAGGTTTAAACTCAGGGCTTCATGTTTGCTAGGCAGGTACTCTACTGCCCTCTGAGCTCTTTCCTATTTTTTTTTTTTTACCTGCATCATATATCCTTTTAGTATATTCCTATTCTGTATTTAAATCCCATTAGAATGTGGGGGAGATAGTTGTTTCTGCCACCCCTTTGGCAGAACTCGGGTTTCAGCTCAGGGCCTTGGGCTTGCTAGGCTGGCATTCTACACCTGAACCACTCGCCGACCCTGCTTCTTGCTGCTTATTCTGGAGATGGGGTCTAGCAGACTTTTTTGCCCAGGCTGTCCTCAAACTGCCATCCTCTGGATCTTAGCTTCCTGAGTAGTGTGAAGCATTAGTGTCTGCTACCTTGGTTATTTTCTAGGAGGGCTTTTGCTTTATGCCCAGGCTGGCATGGGCTGTGATCCTACTACTTGTGCTTCCCCTGTGTCATTGGGGATGACACGCATTGTGCCCAGCCAAGCCACTGGCTGAAATGGAGTCTTGTGAACCGCTGTTTGCTGGAGCTGGTCTTGAACAGTGATCTCTGGCAAAGAGCGCTGATTTCTATCTTCCAAATAGCTAAGATTACAGGTTTGAGTCACCACACCCTGCTTTGCCCTACCCTCTCTACTCACTTTCCCACAACTTTTCTTCGGCAATTCTATTCTACAAAAATGGCTCTTAAGCTGGCCACCAGTAGCTCACGCCTGTAATCCTAGCTACTCAAGGAGGCTGACACCTGAGAATTGCAGTTCAAAGCCAGCCCGGGCAAGAAAGTATGTGAGACTCTTATCTTCAATTAACTACCAGAAAACTTGAAGTAGTGCTGTGGCTTAAGTGGTAGAGCACTGGCCTTGAGCTGAAGAGCTCAGGGACATGCCCATGCTCATAGTTCAAGCCCCAGGACTGACTAAAAAAAAAAAAAGATTTTTATGTAAACCACTTTACAGTTATATATAAACATAGATGTCATGCACACATTCACATACACACACAGCCCACCCAAAGTCAAGTCAAGGTGATTATTCAACTTCACTCTTGTTGGATTTTTATGATAATTGAGAAGATACAAAACTCCTTTGTGCTGCAAACACAGAGACCTTTTCCTAATTTTATTTCATGCAAATCAAATAAAGGTGTGTACAATCACAAATACAGACAGTGCACAAATGCCAGAAGTGGAGCTGTGGCTCAAAGTGATAAAGCACTAGCCTTGAGAAAAAAAAACTCAGATACAGCGCTTAGGCCCTGAGTTCAAACCCATGACTGCCAACACACACACACACACACACACACACACACACACACACACACACACACACACACACACCCCAAAACTAGAACAAGCAAGGCAATGGTGGATCATGCCTGAAAGCTACTCTTAAGATCTCAAAGCCAGTCCAGGCAGGCACTCTTATCTCCAATAAATCACAAAAATCTACAAATGGAGCTGTGGTTCAAGTGGTCGAGCACTAGCCTTGTGCAAAAAAGCTGAGTGACAGTGTCAAGGCCCTGAATTTAAACCCCAGGACTGGCAACAAAACAAAACAAAAATAAAAAACCTAGAACAATTTCTTAGATTTGTAACAAGACATTCCTGTCTCTGGGATTAAGAAGGGAAGATAATTTATTCAATGCCACATAGTAAGGAAATGACAGGCCAGCACATCACTGCCATTTTTCTTTTTTTTTTGAGGGGGGTCCGGTCATGGGGCCTGAACTCTGGGCCTGGACGCTGTCCCTCAGCTCTTCAGCTCAAGGCTAGTGCTCTACCACCTGAGCCACAGCGCCACTTCCAGCTTTTTTTCTTTTTGCTTATGTGGTGCTGAGGAATCAAACCCAGGACCTCAGGCATGCAAGGCAAGCAAGCGCTTTACCACTGAGCCACCTTCCCAGCCCCACTGCCATTTTTCCATTTCACTGTACACACATACACATAACACACACACACACACACACACACACACACACGTTCACACACACCATATGCACATGTGCTGACTGACTGAAATATGTCCCCTGTACAGGTGTGCTCCCACACAAACTTACCACCTCTCAGCCTGTTGTGAGTGGAGAGCTGGAGAGCATTTTCAGGGCAGTTCCATCGCTCCCAAGCAAACTGGAACTTACACTCCTCAATGCCACTCTGGGCACCCAAAGCCACGCTGGTAGTGTAGGTTAGATAGGCCTGGCAAAGGGAAAAGGACTGTGAGTTTCCACCTGTCACAGGTCTCCTGAGGTGGGGCAGCAGGCAAGACTTAGGGTTTCTGGGTGAGGGGGTCTGGCACTGTCTCCTCCTCCCCTGTTTTCTCCAGAAGAATCCCCTTAGGAATGGAAAGTATGAAAAGGGAAGCTGAGACCATCTTACCTTGGGACCTGTGATCAGGAAATTGTTCACTGACCTACCAAAAAGAGAATAGGGGAGGCAGACATGAATGGGGATACCAGTGGGAATGAGTGGTAAGAAGTGAGGGCTAGAGAGAAGGACTTACCAGGCAGAGGCACTGAAGTTGGCACAGCACATGCCCACAGCCACCCACAGCATAAACAGGTTACCCATGGTCTTGCCCACCCCAGAGAATCAGGTCCAACCCAGGGCCAAGTAAGAAAAGTGAGGAAAGGGCAGCGTCTTTCTCAGTATTTATGTGAGCAAATTCTGAATGGCCAAGGGAGAAAAATCAACAGCCCTTCTCATTTGTCCCTCATTTACAGGGCTGCAGGAGCCACTGACCCAATGGGGGACCAAGGAGGAGGGATTCAGACCAGAGCCTTTAAGGAAGCCCCGCCCAGGCCAGCCAGGCCAGCGCTTCTTCCCTCCCAGACTGAGAGGCTGAAGCCTTTCTCCTACCTTAAAGGTCACTAAATATAGTCTATTTCTGCTTGGGTGGGAGGTGGAGGGGGGAAGGAGGGGCCATTTCTCAGAAATCACATACCCCAGAGCCTAGGCCCCCTAATCTGAACAAAGATCACTTATCCTTAGGAGTTCCTTATCTATTAATGAGACCTTATTCTTTGGGAATAATCATAGAGACACTCTAATCTTCACCCCTTCTTTCTCCTTTACCCAAATAAGTAAGTGTACTATCCCTACCTCTTCTCTCAGTGATGAACTTGTCTAACCCATCTCCAGATTATGAATTGCTTATATAATCTGTGAACTTTTCTTTCTAATACTAATACCAGTTTTAGAAGGAAGGATGCTGGCAGTTGATCCCAGGGCCTTATGCATGCTGGGCACATGTTCTACTACTGAGCAACACTCCTAATCAACTTATAAATACCACTGCATTGCTAGAGTTTGGGCTATGTAGGCAGAAATTTTAGAAGGTATGAGAGTCCCCAAAAGACAAGCTGAGAGACCTGAAAGGATTGGGAGTAAGGAATGCCTCCTCCCAACAAGAACTCTCAGAATGCTCAGAGTTTCCTGAAAAGATCAATCAGTCCTGGCTTGAAGGGAATGCAGATTTCTATCCCGGTGTTGGCTATTTCTACACCAAACTTTCTGGGAACTTGGGGATTGACAAAAATCTATGCTAACTATAAGCCATTTATTGCTTACGCTTGCTTCTTAAGATTAAAAAAAAAAGTGATTTATCACGAGTAAAATTATATCACATGATTGGTGCTTAATCTTAAGGATTAAGATTGTATCACATGATTGGTGCTTGTGACTAAGGAAATTGTGATTTCACTTTCTGTGTATGCACCTGTACCCTACTCAATAAATACCTTGTAAAATGGACCCAGGACAACTGAAGCTTAAGGCCCAGTGTCCTAAACCTCAGTTCCACAGTCTAGTGTCCATTAATTACTGTCTTGTCCCTGGTCACTGCGGCTTGCAACCAGAAGGTGTCTGGATAATGAAGGAAAGAAGGAAGGAAAGATCTGTGCCTGTAACAGGGACTGAAGGCACATTAGGCAGGACTGGGGATGATAGGAAGGAGTAGAGGTCTTTCCTGGTTGGTTGTTGAAGCTTTTTCCTAGGGCTGGGGAAGGAAGAGTAGTTCAAGATAAAGCATAGATGGGCAGTCACCGTTTTGCATCATCATCCAGTGATGATCATTGTACTCAGATTGGTTTCCAGCATCCTAAGCCAAAGGGAAGCCTAGTGATTCCCCTACCAAAGGCATTCTGGGATCCAAGGAGTTCCTGGGCCTTTTAAAGGCCATAGACTTAAGTATAGGCCAGGAATGATGTCTCCTCACTGATTGCTGTTCTTCTGAGTTACAATAAGTACAGAAATAGAGTGTTTAGAAATGTTTATAGCAATTTGATGGAGGAATTTAAACTATATTGAACCTAGTAAGAAATTTGGGTTCTTAGTTTGTCAGGTTTTGTTTTGTCTGAAGAAGTCTATACAGCCTAGGTTGGCCTCGAAGTTGAGATCTTTCTGTCTTGGCCTCCAAGTGCTAGGATTACAGGTGTGCACCAAAGGCTTCTGTTTTTAATTGTTTTTTCTATTTCTTATTTCCTAGAAGTTCTCACTCAACTCAATCTCTGCCATCAGCTTTCTCAACTATTTTTCTCTGGTTGGGAAAGAGGCAACCCAGACTCAAGACATTTGAGAAAACCCCACTGAGTTTGTTTTAGTGGCATTTTTCTCTGAGTCCTATTTTTCCCAATCAAGAATCTGGTGTTTGTTGGGTGATAGTAGCTCACCTATAATTTTAGCTACTCAAGAGGCTAAGATCAGGAGGATTTCAGTTCAAGACCACTCTGTTCAGAAATGTTTGCTAGAGCTGGGAATGTGGCTTAGTAGTAGAGTGCATGCCTTGAATGCAGGAAGTCCTGGGTTCAATTCCTCAGAACCACTAAACAGAAAAAACCAGAAGCAGTGCTGTGGCTCAAGTGGCAGAGTGCTAGCCTTGAGTAAAAGAAGATCAAGGACAGTTCCCAGGCCCAGAGTTCAAGCTGCAGGACTGGCAAAAAAAGAAAAAAAAATTTCCTAGACTTCATCTCCAAAATGACCAGCAAAAAACAGGGCTAGATCCAGGGGCTGGTAGCTCATGACTGTAATCATAGCTACTCAGGAGGTGAGATCTGAGGATTGATGCCAGCCTAGTCACTAGGTGCTATTTAGGCTCTAGGTAGTAGCCTAGAAAGCACAAAGCCCTGAGTTCAAGTTCCAGTATTGTAAAAAGAAAAAAAACGGTTTTTAACTTTCACTTTTTAGGGGGGGCGGGAATGGAGGAAGGTCTGGTCTTGGGCCTTTAACTCAGGGCCTGGGTGTTGTCCTGAGCTTTTTTTTTTCTTTCTTTCTTTCTTCTCTCAAGGTCAGTGCTCTACTGCTTGAGCACAGCTCCATTTCTGGCTTTTGATGGTTAATTGGAAATAAGAATCTCACAGACTTTCCTGCCCAGGCTGGCTTTGAATCAGGATCCTCAGATCTCAGCCTTCTGAGTAGCTAGGATGACAGTGTGAGCCACCAGCGCCCAGCTTACTTTCACTTCTTAAGACAGCATATTTGGTTTGCATGCCACTCACTCGGGTCAGAACAGAATTAATGATAGCCCAGTGGTGGTCCTCCGATGTACTCTTTAAAGATTTGTGTGATTCCTCATTCACTTCTTGTGAATGTCCCCCATAACAATTGACATTTAGTGAACACTCTATAATAATATTCTATTTTCAGGAAGCAGAGACAAAAGAAGTGAGATGTAGGTGTGTGTGTTTGTGCATGCACATACTGTGCACGCATGTGAGCACAAACTTTGTGCTTGTGCCTGCTTAGATTCTCAAAAGTTTCTAAAATAGAATAAGGACCACTAATTTCTTATTTGGTCCAGGGCAATCTACTGACCAATATATGGATGGGGCTCAGCTTCTTCTTCCATAAAATAAAGGACTTCCCCAGATCTCTTACATGAGACAATCCTGTTTTGAGATTTACAGAATTTCTTAATACCAGAGGTATAGATTGCAAATGGGAAGATCTTTCCTGCCTGTGAGCATAAATTATCTTACTCATGGGGCTGGGAAGGTGGTTCAGTGGTAGAGTGCTTGCCTTGCATGCATGAGGCCCTAGGTTCGATTCCTCAGTACCACATAAGCAGAAAAAGCTGGAAGTGGTGCTGTGGCTCCAGTGGTAGAGCACTAGCCTTGGGCTGAAGAGATGGATAGCGCTCAGGCCCAGAGTTCAGGCCCCACGACTGGCAAAAAAAAAAAAAAATTATCTTACTCATCTTTGAATACTGCAATTAACATCAGAAGGCTCTTCAAAATTAGTAATTGGAGGACAAATAATGCCTTCTCCTCCCCTTCCTCCTCCTCCTCCTTGTCGGTTATAGGGCTTGAACTCAGGGCCTGTGTACTGTCCTTGAGCTCTTTTGCTCAAGGCTAGCACACTATCACTTTGAGCCACAGTAACACTTCTTAATTCCTTCTTTATAGTTCTTTGGAGTCTATCTGCATAAGACCTTATGTTGTAGACTGCCAATGTTCTTAATTGCAGACAGTATTCACCAGAAGGAGAAAAGAACCAGAGACAAATAATTTCTAGCCAACCTGTGCATCGGTTTTCTTAACCCCGGCTCTATTGTTTCATTAGTGTTTTTGTTGTTGTCATTTCAGAGAATTTTTAGTTTTTGTTTTGTTTGATGCTAAGATTGAACTTAGGGTCTCATGCATGTCAAGCATGGACTCTATCACTAAGCTATACCTCCAGCCCTATATTATTATTATTGTTATTGTTGTTATTATTATTATTTGGTAGTACTGATGTCTGAATTCAGGGCCTAGAGCCTGAGGCAAGCACTCTAATGCTGAGCCACACTTCTACTCTTTTTTGCACTGGCCATTATTTGTGTGTATGTGTGTGCCAGTCCTGGGTCTTGAACTCAGGGCCTGGGTGCTGTCCCTGAGGTTTTTTGCTTAAGGCTAGCACTCTACCACTTGAGCCACAGTGCCACTTCTGGCTTTTTATGTGGTGCTGAGGAATTGAACCCAGGGCTTCATGCATGCGAGGCAAACACTCTACCACTGAGCCACATTCCTAACCCATATTTGCTGATTTTCATGGAAATACTTTCATCATAGCTAGTGTGGGCTTGGGAAGAGATGCATAACAGCATATTATTATTCACTATTTCTCCAATATAGACACAATGGATATAAATAACCTTGAATTTAAATAATAGAAAAATAATTAAGAAGTAATTATTTTGAGTATTAGCTTTTTTGGGGGGGTGGGAGAGTCCGGTTGTAGGGCCTGAACTCTGTCCCTCAGCTCTTCAGCTCAAGGCTAGCGCTCTACCACTTGAGCCACAGCGCCTCTTCCGGCTTTTTTTTTGTGCTTATGTGGTGCTGAGGAATTGAACCCAGGGCCTCATGCATGCAAGGCGAGCACTCTACCCCTGAGCCACCTTCCCAGCCCCAGCTTTTTTTTTTTTTTAAAATAAGTTGTGGGGCTTGAACTCATCTGGGCACTGTCCCTAAGCTTTATTGCTCAAGTCTATTGTTATACCATTTGAGCCACAGCTCTACTTCTGGCTTTTTGGTGATTAACTGGAGTCTTATGAAGTTTCTTACTTGGGCTGGCTTTGAACCACAATCCTCAGATCGCAGCCT